ACCTCTGCTAAATTCTGAAGAAGAGGTTTAAATCCCAGTAAGGTCAATGGAATTTCATTATCCTCTAATAATTTTTTCAGCATTTTGTTGAAACTTATGAATAAAAAGAATAAATACAGAAACAAAGGCAAAAGAAGAATCTCAAAGATCATTTCCTGATTTAAAAAAGAATGAGAGAAAATAAAGTAAATGCTTTCTAAGCAAGAAAAAAGTCTAATAATGGTGTCCCTTTGGGTTCATTAAAAGGGTATTGGATAAATTCAGTATACCTACTAATGATGTGTAAGGAAGGTTGAATTGTGAGACTGAGCTTTGCTGACAAGGCAAAAATGCCCTAGCTTAGGCAAGATTAAGCAGGATTGTGAAAAACTCCAGAAGGAATAGCAGGGAAAATGAAAGGCAGGAGAATGGATGCAGAAAAATTTGCAGCAGAAGGGACATTTGCCTTGGGAAATGTCAGTGCAGGATGCATCAAGGTTTCGGCAATGACATAAAATTACATATCTATTCATTAGAAAGACCTCTAAAAACTTAGTATTCTAAAAAATAAAAGATTCATAATAAGAGTCAAGATCAATGTTGGCTGATTTGTTCAATCATAAATGGAAGTGCTCAGATAGGCTACTTAATTTTTAGCATGTGTACAGAAAGTATATAGAAAAACATAGTATGATTTTATTTCCTGGTTTAGTAGACTTTTATTTGAAAGCAAACAGGTGTTTCAAATAATGACAATGTCATTATCAATGCTGGTATTTTCTGGTCTCTGTTTTTCTGAAATCTCTTTCACCTTTAAATGGACCTGAAAACAACTTGTAATTTACCACATTATTCTTCACCCACAGTCCACAACTTAAAAATAAGAATGTAAAAATGTCATTATTTTTTTCTTCATGAAAAAATTCTGCAAATGGACAAATATTTCAGTAAAACTCCAGCCTGTTTCTTTGTAGAATAGATTTTACACCTCACCTTATGCACATGCATAAAAAATACAGAACTGACTGTATTTTCTTCAGATACGGATTTTTGAGAAAATTAAATAAACATTAATTTTCCCCTCCTTTGTTTCGTAGACCTTTCTGAGTTTGGTAAGCTTCCTACAGCACCTACAGTCTTTATTTTATGGCAGTTTGCTTCTTGGAGATGATAATTCATGTCGACTTACTGCCATAGCAAAATACATGCAGAGGTGTTAAGAGAGGTAAGACTTTCTATCAAGGTTTCAAGATTTCACTTTAAAAGTATATCAGTGAATTTTCTGAAAAGTTTATGTCTTTCTAAATTTAGAAAAAAATGAGTAGGCAAGGGAAGGCTTATATTTTTAATCTTATAAAATTCATAGCTCCCAAGAGTTGACTTACTGGATAGGACAATATGAACAGAAAATTGTAACACACATTATTCTGTTAGCATTAGAATCTGATAAATAGGGACACTTTTTTTTTACCTAATGGAAGAGACTGATAGTTCTCATAATATCAGAAAGGGTTTTATGGAATGGCTCAGGTGACTCAATGTTGCTCAATGAAAATTGAGCATGAAATTTACAAAAAAAAAAAAAAAAAGCCTTTTGTTGTCCTTCATACAAAGTGTTGGGTGCATATTTGGAAAGAAAAGGGAAAGCTTACACTCAAGTTATCCTTGTAAGGCTCAGTAAGAAGCCTGTACACTGTTCTGGTGTGCTAAGCTCTTCAATCACTCTGTAGCTGTTCCCTCCATTACAGCCATCTACACACTACTTTTACCAATGTGTCATAAGGCCAACTCAGATCTATATTTCCCTGTCCAGAAGCAGTGCAGAGCTCGGCCCCTTTTACTTAATGAGTCCAATAATATCTGTCCCAAGGAGAAAGGAAAGGGCATAGAAAACATTTGCTTCTCTTAATATCCTTGAGAAGAGGTCAACCCAAATGATAATCATTTTTCTCCCTCTTCTCTTCAGCTGCTTATATTGTTCTTCTCAACATCACTGCAAAAACACATCTGCACTGGATACTGTAAATAGGATTAAGCATCCTTAAGGGAAGAGGATGTCTGAAGCAAGGCTTCATCAGTATCAGCCTGTAGGGGAGGGCCAGCAGAGCAGGGAGGGGTGCATGTGTGTGTGCATGGGGGCCAGGGAGGAGAGGATGGTTCCTGCTATATCTTGTCCTCAGAATCTTGCAGAAATTCTGAACAGCTGAAGAAGTCTGTGTTTGAGGGCTGTTTTGCTTTATCCGTTCCACCCTGTCTCATAACAGCAATCATTGAGAATTTAAATATACTTGAAGTTGTTTTAGTGAATGAACATGAATGTATTGGCATTTTTCCTTGTATATTAGTGCTTAGGTTTTGATAGTAACAGCCTGGAAGCTTTTATATTTGGTTGAGTTTTTTTTGCTTCCCTGCTACAATGGATATATTCTTGGAAGGCTTTGTTCACATCACCTTCTACATCGCTGCTCTAGTTTGTAAGCTCATTATCTATTTTTATCCACTCATTTAAAACTTTTGAGAAGTTGTTCAAATGCTTTTAAGTTCTAAATCTACCCAAGATGGTTCAGTACATTAGTTTTTTAAAAGTGTAAATGATTTCTGTGTCAAGAACGGAAAGGATGAAAGGTGTAAAATGTTACACTTGCAAGAAAAGTGGAACTTACAGATATGCATGTAAAAATGAAAGGATTGACAGATCTGACTGACTCCTCACAGCCAGATTTGTTAACTTCATCTGACACAAAAAAAATCCCATCAAATCAGCACAGAAGAGAACCAGTATTGGCATTCGTACATCATTCATTTCCTGGAATTATGAAATATCTACTGCATTGCTGTGACATACAGCAGACAAAAGCTTTGCATTCCTTTATTTTCACAGTGTGTTACTTTTCATTCAGGAGACAGCGGTGCGATGTTTCTTCCTTGATGTTCTAAATCTAGAAACCTTTCTAGTTGTGTTTAATTTTTTTTATGATTGTTTATGCAGTAAAAGCACTATCATGCTTTTACTATCTGCACCTCTTATAACCACTCTAGTACTTATCTGTTGGCCTATTTGTGGTGTTTGTTTTTTTTCTCAAGCCTCACACAATTACTAAAAAGCTGTTTAAGTTTGCTCAACATAACTTTGTATATTTCTGTTGTTGTTTTGGGTTTGGTTTTGTGCTTTTGAATAGATCTCTTGCCTGGTAAAGGGTTGTTGAAATCCTAGCTTTGCTGTGAGTGGTATTTGAATGTTAATTTCAAACATTTTCAAAAATTTGGCTGACTTCTTTAGATCTGAAACAAAATCTTCCTTCAATCTCAGAAAAAGATGGTTCCAGCTTTAGAACTTTTTTGGTTGGTTTAAAGGAATTGAGAAAGTGGAGGAGGAATGTATAACGTTACCCTGTCATGGTAAGCAAAACTATGCCTAAAGAATATTTTTGAACTGACATTGTGTCTTGGACTGGGATCTCCTTTTAACTGCATTTCTGGTCCCATAATGGTGTTTAACAGAGGACAGTTGTTCAGCAGCTTTAATCACATGTGATATTGTATAATTAGCAGACTGTTCAACAAAGGCTTCAGCCTCAGCTTTTTGTCATAAAATATAAAGCAGTAACACAATTTCCATTTCCCCTCCTTGCATGAACTCACCAAGTCATTACCAAACACATACAAAGAGATGCCTTATAGCTATTAAATGTCTCTGATGCAGGACAATGAAATGATCTATCTCAGCTGTTAGGAAGACAATGTACAATGTACTCCTGGACTGAGAGCAGCTTTTGGACCTCCTGACATCTTCTGGAAAAATTACTTTTCACCTCTGTTTTCCCCACACACTAGCAGGTGTTCCCTCCATCAAGACTGTAAGCTCCTTAAGGCACAGACTCTTTTTCTGTGATGTTTACTGTGTTTGGCTTTGACATCCTGATCTGGGTTGGCCTCTTTTTTTCACACAAAGTACAAATAGATACCCCTTACAGTAGTACTGATTGACTTTGATTTTTTGGGAATTCAGGTTAAGATTTAATGGTGTGCCTAGGAAAACAGGTTAAACCAAACCCCAAACAATTCCTATGTGCCCCAAGGGTAAGAACTTCAGAATCTGGAGAGTGGTCAATTTGGATCTGATTCCAGACACTAAAAGTGGTCACTTTGGACTTACCTATTTTGAGATGGTACCAGGAGATGAAATTAAATACCCTTTCTTCATCTGCTTGGAACAGAGACATCATGTCATAAATTCCCAATTTCAGTGTTAGGAGAAAGTTTCAGAGGGTTTGACTGACTGTAAAATGAAACAGGTTATAGTAAAGTTGGAAGAGATGGACTGTGTACGGAACACGTTTCATGAAAAAAAAGAAAAGGACATTTTAGACAACTTTGTTACAAGAACTACTTTTGCACAAGAACTTTTGTGACTGCTCATGTTATAAGCAGGAGGCAAGGTCTTGATCTGAACCGTAAAACGGGAAGATGGAGTAAACCTTAGGAAGGTGAGGTTTCCAAAACAAGCTGTAACATCTCTTCCAGTACTGACCGGGGCGAGTTCAAAGCAAACCGCCTCTGAACTTTGCAGAACCCGAGGAACACACCGGAGCAGCCCGGCCCGGGGAAGAGAAGCCAAGGTAGTGGACCGGGGGACACCAGAACCTTCGGTGGAGCGGGTCAGGGGTCTCCGGGGGCTACCGGGGCCGCTCCCCCGCTCCCGAGCGCCGGGCGGGGCTGCCCCCGCGGGGCCTCCGAGGTGCGGGCGGTGTCCGCACAAAGCCACGGGCGCTTCGCGCCCCGTGGGGCTCCATCTCTCCATCCCCTTGTTTTCCATAGCGTGGGAGGCAGAGTGTGCTGGGAGCGCGGGGGAAGGAGCGGGCGCGGCGTGCGGGAGCTGCCGGTGCGCGGTTCCCCCTCCCCGGGCAGGACCCCCCTTCCCACCCAGGGACGGACCCAAGCGGACCGAGGGGCGGGAGGCGGCTCCGAGCGGAGATGACAATTAGCCTTTAAATATGGCTGCTTGGAAGCTGTCAGCTGGGACGCGGAGGGGCTGTTAACCCTCCTCTCCCCGCCGCACGCCTCCCTTCTCCGCAGGGCTAATAGCGGAGCCGGGGATAAGAGCTCTCCAGCCCTTTCCCCGCCCCGCCGGAGCTCGATGCCGTAGCGGCTCCGGGGCCCGGCCGCCCTCACTTCCCAGCTGGCTGCCTGGCGAAGGGACGGCGTTCCCCGCCTCCCTCCCCGCGCTGCCGCTGCGTGTGAGCCGCGGGCACCGGGACCACAAAGGAGGAGGGGGAGCCGCGGGATACATGGTCCAGGGTGGTGTGTGCGCGCCGGCGGGGGGCATCTCTGGCGAGGAGGAAACACAAGGTCAAGAGGCGGCTCTTCTCCTCCTCCTCCTCCTCCTCCATGGAAGAAGACGGGAGCGATGAGCCCTGAGGAGGACGGCGAAGAGAAGGGGCGGATGGCTGAGCGCTGCCGGGCTTCCCCTCGGGATTGACGCGGGCGCGGAGAGCTGAAGGGGCCGGAGGAGGCAGCGCTGGGGTCGGGAGGGAGGGAGGGAGGAGAGGAAGGCGAGGAGGAAGCGGGGGGTTTGAATCTCCCTGGCTGGATTATCTCCCTTCAGGGGAAGCTGCCATCGCCGCCCGGCCTCGGCCCGCGGCCCCTGCGGCCAAGATGGACCTGGGCAGCGCCGCCCCGAGAGCGGGAGCTGCCCCCGCAACCCCGGCCGCCTGGAGACCTTTCCCCTCCGCCTGCTGCTGCTGCTTCGCCTCGCTCCTGGATGTGAACAGCTGGCTGCTCTTCTACGGCTTCCTCTACCTGGCTCTCTACGCCCAGGTGTCCCAGTCCAAGTCCTGCGACAAAATCTCCTGCTTTTCGGGTCATTGTGTCAACTCCACCTGTGTCTGCGACCAGGGCTGGGTGGGAGACCAGTGCCAACACTGCCAGGGCAGGTTCAAGTAAGTCTCTGCTTATTACCATTTACTTCTTTTCATCTCTACACCCTTTCCCTCTCATTTCACTTGCCTGTTTTTCGTTTTGACTGTGTCTGCTGTGATTCTGTTCATGTGTGGTGGAAGTATATGGCAGAAGTTAAGGCTGAAATATGCTCCTCCACCTCTTAAGAGCACAGGACACAGTCTTGTGAAGGAAAATAGTACCTGCTGACTTACCGCTGAAAATAGGCTGCTCCACTTCATGGGAACCGAGAGACAGAAATCGACCTGAAGCTGTGTCGCTGCTGTCCCTTCTGGAAGGGTCATGGAAATGACATGTGCACTCATAGGGCTGCCCAGGGAGCAAAAACTAGTAGTGGATTTTAATGACTTTTTCCATCTGAAGAGTGAAAGTGTTTAGCGCATTCCAGTCTTCCTTTCTTTCAGGTGTTCTAGTTAAGTGGGTATTGCTCAGTTACATTCAGCACAACGTGAGTGCAACTGAGTGAAATGTACATCCCTAAGGACAAGGTTTGCAGGAGAGAGTGGAAAACGTAAACCCCTGACATGTTTTTGCTCAGTAGAGCTCGAAATACCTTCTCATTCTTAAAAGTGAATGTGATACCGAGTCATTGATCAGTATGAAAGAAGCACACCCAGACATTTGCTTTTCTATATGTAGTGGGAAAAAAGACTTAATTTATAGGGCTGTCACTTTCCTCCCGCCCCCTTTGCTATCAGCGTGAAGACTGGATGTGAAGAATACTGCTCGCTGTTATTTTGCGATATAATCTTGGGTAGGACATCTCATTTCATTCCCTTGTAAAACACCCCTTAAAAGCAGGAACTCTATTTATTAAGTATGATGACATATATAGCTAGAAAGTGTTCTAATATCTGATTAATAATGAGACATCGGTGAAGTTAAGTCTCAGAGAATTCAAATCCTGGCTTTGAAAAATTACTTTTTATAGATTAACTATCAATAATTGTTTTTAAAAATTTTAATTTAAAAATTGTTTTTAAGTTCAGTTTTCTCTCTGGAGTACTGAAATTAAGCTATATAATTTACATCTCTTTTAAACATTTAACACATAGTCACTCATTCTTAAATAAATAAAAAGGTAAATCCACTAACTTGTTAGCTTGGGAAGGAGTAGCTGAAGTCAGACGTGTTGGCTGAAGTAATGTACACGCTGCTGAGAAAGTAACAATTCGCTGATAATATTTGGATAATATCCCATCAGTACTATTATAACTCAGGTATAAAGGTAATGCAAGAACAAATATAATACATCTTTTCTGCATATGAACTTGATAATAAGGTTTCAAAGCTGGTCATTTGTTGCCTGTATGTACTGGGGGTTTGGGGTTTGTCCTGCTCTGTGCAGTGGAACAATGAGCTAATTGCTGAGGGATTGAGAGTGAGGAGAGGCGGCCCAGGTGAATCTTCTTTGTGCGTGTGGATCTGCAGAGCTATAATTTCCTTGCTTTAAAGGGATTACTTGTATCCTTTGTCTTGGTGCCACTCGGAGCAGACCCTGATAATGCAAGGACCAGAGCAAACTGTAATTTCAGTTTCAAAGCTTGTTATGACTTAGTATATTCTCTGAATTGTTACTGGAGCCTCTATCCTGTCCTTACAGATATTATCTTGCTTATCTGTTGAAACATTTATATTTCTTGACATTGGTTGTGTTTGTCAAGTGAGGAAGCACAGTGGTTATATTTTCCTTCTGGTAGAAAGTTAATAATCCATCCCCACCTAGAGGAAGTTCTGCCTGAATGTTGGAAGGGCACCTCTTCTGAGCTGAGCTAACAGAGTGGTTAATCGATGTGCTGTTAGAAGTTTTGATTTCTCATTAACTCCTCTATATTCTTTCATGCTTAGCTTTAGAAGTGATAGTGATACTTGCATTGTGATTTTGATCACGGAAGTAAGCTGTTGGAGACCTATTTTTTACTGAGGACACTTTCACAGCAGTATCTCTAATAGCTCATCTTTAATCTTTATTCTTGGAAGCAAAGTATACTTTGCAATGAAAATAAGCAGCCTAAGATTTAAAGGTGTTCAAGCCCTGTGAGTTGGGGATGGAGTGAAATATGTTAAACGTTTCTTACAATGCAAGCAGCAGCTTGGAGTGGTTGTATTTTGAATCCTGAAAATTCAGATGGGTGTTGAATGGGTGATGAGTCAAGCTCCATGTATTTCCATCTGAAGAGCTGGAAAGAGAATGTTTGTCTGCCTGATGTGTAGGTGATTGAAGACCTTTCTGACCTCTCTGGGAGTTGATGGTTTGACTTATTGTGGTGGAACATTTGCTTATTGTTTCTGTTTTTCTGTGAAGCTGAGCTTTATCCTTAAATAGCCATGGTTGAACTTTTGCAGCAGTTTGACAAGTTCTGTTTAATGTACATCACTGCTGCAGCAGTTACTTCTGTTAATAAGAATTATTATGCAGATTGTTTCAGAATGACAAAAATTGCAAAGTGTGTTTGTGTTACGGTTGGTGGATTGTAGATACGATATACAAATGTTAATAGAACCTTTTTTTATTACTCTAAACATTTACATTGTTTCGAAGTTGCAGCTCTTTGAAGTGCCTGCGTGTGTCTCTGTTACCCAAGATTTTAATTGAACTTTTAATAGCCCAAATTGGACATGTGTAAAACCTGTCTCTATGTTATTTGAAGAAACAGATTTTCAAGGATAGGCTTAAAACAGTTGAAAATAAAAGGGTCTTTCTTTTTCTTCATCTAAGTGAAGTATGGTTATTTTTGCTCTCTGTAAATGAGTGACTTGAATTAGCAAGCACCTGAAACATTATTTTAAGAAGAGAAATACTCTGCCTAAGGGTAACTTGGGACCATTAATTCTTTGGTGAGAGATGTGGAGTATTTTTTACTTTGTTTTATTTCTTTTCTCGATTGAGAAATAATAACATAGCAGAGATATATCAGAAATAATTGATCAGTGTTCGTAAGCAGGTGTCAATTGACAGTATTATGGTAACCTTGCCTTTTCCCTGTAAGAGAACTACCGAGTAAGTGGACTGCTTAGCAAATGTTGCTCTGAGCTGGATGAAAGAAGGATGGATGGGTGATAAAATGAGCAGAAAGGTTGTCCAGCACCGTTTTACCATTTTCTTACTCTTATTTGCCAACTTTATTTACCCTTTGTATTGTGAAACGTGGTAACTCATTACAGAAATTGAGATGTTGCTATTCTTACTGCAGTGCATTCACATCTGTGTTACTCACTTTTCAGGATGATCTAGGCCTCATCTCTGGCTGGTGGTAAAGTATTTCACTCTCTGTCCAGACTGGATATCTGAATGGAATTCTGACTTTGTGATTTCTTAAAACCTTTTTTTTCTTCTATTCCTTCCTCTCTGCTCTAAAAGAATACAAAACCCTTTTTTTTTTTTAACCAAAATAAAAAAGAGAAAATTATTTATGGAAAAAAAGGGAAAAGGAATTCTGCCAGGTGAAAGATAAGAAAACCAGTGGGTGATCAAGTTCTGTTTTTATAGCAGGGAGTTTCAAGAAGCGCAGTTCCCAAGATGTAAACAACCACAAGCATGAAAGGACAGCGCACAACTTTGTTTTGCTAGGTTGATTTATCAAGGAAGTGAAGCTTCTGATGCTACATCTGCCACTCCTTCTTCCCCTGTCCTATCTATATCTTTGAATTTGTTGGTCATTTGCAGTTTTCATGATGATATGAGTTTTGGCAGAAGGGAGGGGGAAGGGCTGCCTAGTTGTGTTATGAGACTCCAGGAAATTAAGGGACACAAACATTATGAATGGCCAAACTACAGGAAAAAGTGCTGTCACAGCTTCTGTGACACTTCTAAATACACTTCTGTGTATTTAGATGTCAAAGTCAAGAGTCTTGAGATGCAGCAGTACAGGAAAACAGGTTTCTTTAGTTTTGCTACTCACAGAATGAATTCTGAGAAGAAAAAAAATCCCCCAGGTCAGAGCAAAAAGTTTCCCTTTCTCTAGCTCTGCTTTGGACACTGGCATGTAGAAGAGCATTAGATAAAAATTTGCTCATGAAATTGTTCTTCCTCCTAAGGTTTTGAGTACCTGAATGACTAAAAACATCCATTCTTCTAAAATTCTGCTTTTGAAAAATTAGGTTGTGTCCTCAGAGGCTTATTGTTGTTTATTTGATAACTGTGAGTCCCAATTGGCAGAAGCAATGAAGCAGATTGTACAGGATAGGTGAGCACCTTTAAGGACCTACGCCTCAGTTAATCTGCTTTACCTAGTCCTAGATATCTAGTTGTTATGGAGAGAGTAAGAACAAATGGATCTATGTGATTATTAAACCTTGTCTCCAGATGTTCTTCTTGCAATTTTAAATTACCTTCTGCATATTCTTAATTTCTAGAGCTCCTATCACACTCACAACTGAAATGTTAGAAGGGTATAAAATTTTGTTATTCCAGGCAAAATCCTTATTTTTATCTAAAACTCTGAATTCTGTTGTCTGCAGAATGACTCATGCAAGGAAAGTGTCCTTAAATTGCAGATTTTAAATGAATGATAATGTTGTGTAAGAAGAGATCTTTAGAAAAAACTTAGCTTTAGCTGCAGCCAGTTGAAGTTCATGCTGCTGTGAAAAGGGGTGACTTTATCCTTTACGCTTCTCTTTGATTACATCTTTCTGCTTCTTGTGTAAGCATTAATATTCCTGCTGAGATTTGAAAAGTATCAACAGGAACATATCTCCCCACCTCTCAGCCAACTTTTTTTTTTAAGCTAGCTCAGTTTGCTCAAGTTACTTCACTTGCATAAACCTCCTGCTGATCCAAAGGAGTTGGCAGCATGAGCAGGTGTAGAGAGGAAAAGAAAATTGTTACTTTTAGAACTGGTACAGACTTAGTTTTCCATAACTTTAATGTAAAACAACATCACCATTAAACTGGTGCAACTTTCATTATAGGATGACTCAGGATTTCACCCTGTATAATTTCAAAACTGCCTTTGTCATCGGCATGACCTGTATCTGATCC